AAAACACCGTCTGCTTCTTCCTTGTTTCCCCGCCGTTGTAAAGTTCTCGTCCCGCACCACACAATTCGGCAGACTTGACAAATCGCCACCGTCGGCCTCGATTTATGTTGTGGCTTAATTACGAGGAACGTGGATCGGAATTCCTCTGGAACCCCCGAAATTACCACCATGAGAAAAAAACAAAATAAAAACACTAGAGAGGGGGACGAGATCGATCTGTCGGCATTAATCTGGAGCGATTAGGGATTTCGAGTGCAAATTGCGACTAATCTGGCGATTAGTAAAGCTTGGTTTATTTGGCCGGCTGCAAATAGGCCTTAATAAAAATGTTGATGACTTTCTTCACAGCAGATATTTTGCTTCTATTTTCTTTCTCTCTGAGACGCGAGAAGAAACAGCTTCAGTTGTTCCTCGAGCTGCCATGGTTAAAAATAAGTGCGCCCGCTCTAGGAATAGTTTTTAATATCGGCTCGAGTGGCAGAATTTTGACTGACATGTGTTGCCTTGGCCGAATGTCAAATTTATTTTTATTTCGCCTTTGATCGCAATCGAGCGCGGCACTCGCTGAAAAGTAATCAACAACGCGCCACTTCTGCTCGCGACGTTTCCTCAACTTCTTGGCAGGTCCGGAGATATCTTTAACTTTGATTCTTCAAAGCTTGTAAAAAAACAAATCTCCTCACCATCTGATGAACCTTCTTAAATGGTTTACTCGAAGTCGACTTGAATGCTGCAGTGGCAACATTAAAAACATACAGGAATATTATAAATAATTAGAAAATCAATAATGAAGGAAGATTTTTTTTTGTACTTTAAAAACTTGAATTGAACCAAGAATAAATAAACTGTTTAAATTATTATTATAGTTTATTGGTTCAACTTGTTAAACATAAATTAAAAGCAATATTAAAATAATTAATACAGTTTTTTTATAACAATTAAACTAATTAATAAATATATATAATTTACACTATTAACAATATTTTTTTATTACAAAATTTTGAAACCCCTTTAATTTAATTAGGGCATGATTTTTAATATTTGAAATTAAATTTTTTTTTTCTTTTTTGAAGTTACAAAGTTAATATGTGATGGAATAAATTATGTTGCATGAGTTACGCAGGAATTCTCATTATACCCGCCATAAATTCCCTTATTCCAAGGGATATTAAAACCGCCATTAATCAAACAAAAGCTGTTCTGATGGAAAGTTCCTCTCCGTGGTCGAAACGGATCTCACGCTCGGCAACAAACGAGACGCGAAGGTAAATTGGGTCATTTCGAGATGCGGTCAGTTTGTTTGATTCATGACCCCTGGGCGAATGGCAACAGGATTTAATGGAAGCGTCCGTGCGCGTCTGCCCGATGAGAACCGCACGAGTGGGGTTGCGATCCGACTAGGATTTGCATCATCTTGGCCATAACTCGGCCCAGCCGCAATTTATTGATCTCTCGGCGAAATTAACCGCACAACCCCGCCGCACAACCAAACCAACCGCCTCGAAAACTTGTTGATTAGTCTCTGTCCGCCGTGAAATGAGAAACTATTTCGAGAGAAAGGAGAAGATGTTCCTTAACTCATGACTATCGGGAGATCCGTAATTTGACTAAAATTTCCAAAAAAATGTATGGTTAATTTGTAAAATGTACTCAAAAATGTAGTTTGTTTTCCCTAACATTTAAATTTCCTAAAATATCATAGTCATCCTGAAAAGATAGATCAAGATTTTTTCATTATAATTTATTTTTGATCTTATTTATTTCATTTTACATGCTATTTGAAAGTAAAACAGCTTGTGACAAATAATTTTTAGGAAAATTTATTTTAAAATTATTGAAAAAAAAATACAACATTTTTAAATATTTTGAATTCAGGACATGTAACGAAAGTGCTTTGTATGAATTTAGGGTAAATAACGGCGACCCTCTCTATCTCTTCACAGCAGCAAGTTTGCACGAGCTGACGGATATTACAGACAAACAAAATACACACGGGCGACAGATTTCAACTGACGAAATGCAATCAACGCTTAATTAAGTCGTTTTCTGCATGCGTTTGGTTGTTCAGGCAGTTAATTTTCCTCATATACATGCAAAGTCCTCATTGATCTTGTGTGTAGTTTGAAGCTTGCACCATTAACTAGGGTAATTAGCCAGGGCGTATTATGGAGAGGGGGATGCTTCAGTTCTAAACCATCAAAAGTTGATGAATTATGTGCTACAACCGAACAGTCGAGCACTCACCTCTCTAAGGTAAATATTTATAAGCTCATTCAACCATGCAAAATTCTTTCAAGTGTATTAATAATAACGGGAGCATGAATAATAAATATACTATTATAAGTAAATTGACTGTGTTCAGGGCACTCGATGCTTTAATGATGCAAAATTACAGGTCGGTAAAAAAAAATTAGCAGTATTTTATTTAGAGTGTACTTATTGCAATAAATCAAATTTGAAAATTTAGCCGGACCTGTTAATTTTTCGATTACTTTTACTTGTCCAAAATTACCAAATGAATGCAAATAACGCAATTTTAAGCCTGAAAACTCTTTTAACTGATTGATCAATGACAAATAATTATTATCTTTGGTGATATGATTTTAAAATCGGCTTTTCCTCGATGGATTTTGTAAGTGGTTTTATATTAAGTAAAAACAATATCTACATGTTGCGAGCTGCAGTCATAATTCGTGAGCTTTCTTGGCGGTGGTCGAGAGAAGAATTATGGCTTCAGCCAGCAGCCGAAACATGTAGAGCAGGATAGTTTTTTTCTAAAAAAATAAACGAATCACAAAACCCATCGAGGAAAAGCAGAATTTAAATTCAAATCACCTTGAATCACGCTCATGAAATTCTACCACAAAAGTTATCTTTCTTGGAAATAATTTTGATTTTATGAAGTGAAGAAATTGATTGTCTTTGTTTTGGAATTTTAATATTATATATATATTTTTATTGAAATTTACAGTGCTAAAATTTTATTATATTACACAATATTTTGTTAAAACCAAACATCTAAATTATATAAAAATTTTAAATTTACTGCAAGTAAAAATAGTTAAAAATCAAACTACTTATTTTTTTAAATATCTTTTGATTAGTTTTAATTTTATATATAATTGTTTTTTTATATTCATCATATTTATAATAAATTTTAAAGTAACAATGTTTTGCACAAAAGGAGGTTTAATGGTGTTAATAAACAGAGGGCTACATTTAGAGCCGGCGATTGGTGATAAAGCGGCACCGCATTGGAGTTATGGAGATTGTACATCCCATTGGGATGGAGATGGTCAGCAATATTTTCGCGACCGCGCCAAAAATCTCTAGACTATCGCGATTTATAATGACGCACGTAGCTGAGAGTGGGTCTGTGGGCAGCCGTGCGAGCCAAAAGCAACCAGCACCACCCAGCTGGCTGACAGACGTTACAAATTACACACTATCCTCCGCTGTTTGATGCCAATTAAAAAGATATCCTCCCATTGGCAGCGGGCAAAAAACAAACCACATACTTTTTCCCAGTGCTAGAGAAAGAGCAGGCGGATGAGCGTCGCGATATTACATTTTTAATCAATATCCATTAAAGCGTGATGAAATAATGGAGAGAAGGCTGCTGTGAGCCGGAGAGTAATTTAATTTATTTGCACAACGGCGAGCAAAAATCAATACAAGCAAACACACGGCGCGCAGATATTAATTATCCCTCGGCTGCCGAGTCTCTCTCTAATGAAATTTGAAAACTCGCCATCAAATATTCAAATTGAGCGAGCGTGGCGGAGCGATTGATAACGCCGCAAACAAACACAATCAGACTCTTTGCACCGGGGAAATTCGCCGAATTTGGCACCAAGTCGCGTCGCGTGTGCCAAATAGCGCCAGAAGGAAGTGTTTTTCGGCGCAAGCAAATCCTCTGTGCGCACGTTTTACACTTTCACGGGAGTAAATTTTACTCAATTGACTTTTACGTTGGAAGCAACTTCCCTAATCGAATTATCCACTTGACTTTTCCAAGCTGAAAAACAGAACAATTTCATGGAAAGTTTTTGGAAAGTGCTTGCTTTTAATTAAAAACAAACATCTGCCAAAAATCAGTACTTTCACTTTGCATTAAGGCACAAAAGAAATTAATGTTATCAATTTTATCATGAAATGATGAAAACCCTCGGCACTGAATAACTTGTTTCATAAAATAGTAACAACAAAGCATTCTTAATCCGTTCATGTTTTTGAAAATTATTAATATTTTTATATTAGATTACAGATTAATAATATATAAAATGAGAACGACTTTTTATAATGCTACGAGTCTTGACGGGGGAATAATTTTTCATACAATATTTTATGCTCAAATCAGGTGGTTTGGGATTTTTTTTTCAATATTTTTTTTCTATTCTCAAAATATTTTTAACAATTTTCTAACATTTTTTAAAAGTGAGCCTAAATTTAATAATTAATTTATATCGAGTGAGGAAATTAAAATTTAATTTTAATTCAAATTTTAAAATTATCCAACATAATCAATAAGTTATATGACACCAGAAACTGAATTTTTTTTACCAGTTTTTCTAGCATGCATAAAATAATATCAAATCACTTACCTTTTTTTGGCAATCTCCGTGTGTTTGACCAGCAGCGGTTTTTCGAGGTTGGAGTGCGGCTTTCAATTTTTGCTCTCAAAAAATAAAAGCCGGCGGCCGTATTCTGCATCAGTGTGTGTATGTTTTCAAAACAAAGGGACGCGCAAGAAGAATAACACCATGGGACGCTGACCAAAAATAATCCCTTTATGCGCCGCCGTGCGACTGAAAAGTTTTATCTGTGTGTTGGCAGCGGCGGAATAAAACTCCAACATCTGTTTGCTTTGCATTTGCTACTGACATTCTGAATCGAACCCTGGTCGCGCAAAAGCAAACATTTGCCCACATTAGCGTGGAAAACTAATTACCACATGCAGTTGGGTGGAAATTTAATTGAAACCTCGGCGCAAATTGGTTCAGAAAATGCTTTATTCAGTGGTGGAAAAAGTCCAAAAAATACAAGGTGCATACTAATTCAATGACAATGAAAATGTCCAACGATGTCTGCTCGTCACATCATTCACATTTTTAAACTTTTATTAAATACGTTATCGCAATCGCAAAATGATAATCCAAGATTGTGTGAGAGTGATAGACACTTTAGCTTACTTTTATGCGTGTATAGCCGTGGGTCAGTGTGTGTTAAATTTACTCCTTTTATTATTATATAATAATATAATAATTGTATAAGAGTTATACACAATATAATGTATTCCAAATGTTTCTTTTTAATTATGATTGAATTGTACTATGCACTCAACTAGCACAAGTTGTCGCCTTCGGCTCGATTTCCTCATCATATCAGTACCTTGTATACAAGTTTTTCAGCTACAGCATCTCTATTGTTTCTTTAATGCCTCCTTACAGGTTTAATATTTCAATGAAACTTCTTTACGTAACGACATTTAGTTTTTCTGAATCGATTTTAGTGAGAGTTGCGATGCTAGCTGCTCCGAGAGTTAAGCTAATTTAAAATCTAATCCACGGTGACTAATTTTCGCAGCTCGCCAATCAAGAAGAAAAGTGACGAGCCGGTTTCTTTAACACTCTGTCAGAGAGAGATTTTTAATGCGCTCATTTAAAGTTTTGCAAACACTAATATCGTCGACGCGCAGAACAAAGTATCTTGCGTCGACGTGTTTTAATATTATATTAAATCGTACGTGTTATTCCGAGTTAATTTATAATTAAACTTGATCCTCGATTCTTTTTAAAAGTACAATATTAATTTTTAATAATAAACGTATGCAATAATACAAGTACAGTCTACACAGAGAGATTTCATTTTTTTTTCATTTTTTTTTAAAGTGTTGTTGTTCTTGCTCTTAAACGTCATTTAATTAGTTTTCAATTAATCTTGGTATTTTTTGTGTTCTCCGTTAATTATCTGTATACACACACTCACATCCATTTGAAAAAAGTAGAGTCCCCTTGGTGAAAAGACAACGAGCCTAACTAGGCTACTCTTCTTGATGTGTTTTTAAACCGCTAACGAGCATAATTTATTTTAAGTTTAGTATAGTAGTTACACATGCCGTAATTTTAACGTTCTTTAAGTATGGTCATTACGCCGCCTTAATATTTATTAGAAAAAGTTTTTTTTGTTGTTTTTATTTAGCGTAGGAAGATTAGAGAATGGCAAATCGTAAATGGGTTGTTAATTATGCATTGAACATGGACCACCTCTGGTGTGGCTGGTGAGAGAGATGAAACAACAGGATGGAATCGGGAAGATCGTGAGGGGGAATGGGAAGCGATGAACAGCTACACAGACTATCAGGAAATTACAAGTTTCGCAATATACTCACACACACACACATACGCCCCTGCCGAGAGTTGCTAAGGTTCCGGGAAACTCGGACTTAAAATTCGCACTTGAGTGCCACCGAAAATCATCTCGCGATCTGTTTTTGTTTTTCTTATATGACGTGCAACAAAAGCAGCGCCGTCTTTTTGTCGCGCCTTCCAATAGTTGGCTGGTGGCTGCACGCCAAAATCAACAGCCGTGAGACACAAGGATAATAACTTGGCTGTGCCAATGCGTGTGTGCTCCAGCTCTTTCTTTCGTATTTTCTTTTTGTCTAATAGCAAGCAAAGCGTCCTTTTTGATAAATGGAAGCTTTAAATTGGTCCATCAGATGGGGTTAAAAGGCTCCTATCCAAGCGTGGAGAGTTCTAATGAAAAACTTGTTAATTAAAAGGGCCTGATACGTTTTGAAATAAATTTGAGATGTCAAATAATTGTTTTTGGACTGAAATTGACCAAGCTATGGCGTGACTGGTGAGAAAGTATTTTTTTGATTTTATTTGCTACAAAATTTATATTTGCAAATGGTAACATTCTGATTCTAAATATGTGGAACCAATACTATTACGGAAACTTTTTCAATTAAAATTTTAGCTCAAGAAGTTGCCTATTAAAATTTTCCACCAGTCAAATTATTGCTTCAAAACGTTTCCAGATCTTAAAAAAAAAATGGCCGCCTCTTGTAGAGTAAAAGTTTGCCCTAAATAATTTTATAAAAATTGTTATTCAAAGATCTATCTGGATATAATTTCATTTCAAAACACGTTCATACCCTTTAAATAACTTGGTTTATCTTCTGTTTTTAAAATCAGTGGCTTCACACACATTTTGAGTTTCCAGAAACTTAGCCACTCTAGGCGTGACACTGTTTCAATAATAACACGGTATAGAGCAAGAGAGAGAGACGAGCAATGCCGTTCTCGTACAGATCGATATCATTTGCAATTGGCAGGGCGACTTCATGCAGTGTTCAGACCCAAATAGCCAAAAATACTCTCACGTCAATGTACCGTGGATAGTAACAATATGAATCCCGAGCCTTTACAATATATTCGTCATGGAATGATCTCTTAACAACTAAAAAACAACTTTTCACGTTCGGAGAGTAGGCGCAGCAAAAATGCTTTACTTGTTCTGCTCAACCCTCGTCGGCCAACTGCGGTTTTTAAATATTAACAACTCGGTTTGTGCATTACTTGGTTCAAGACTATTATAATAATAATGAGGAAAATCCAACTCAGTAAGTAACAAATTGCGTTTTTCTCCAACATGCAATTAATATTTTCTCTATCAGTTCGTTCAACACACATTAATGATATATAACCACAAATTGATTAACAACACTTTTTGCTGCGCTTTTCAAGTCTGCACATTCAGAGAGATTTCATTATACTTGAAGAACCTCATTTTCCTCTGGTTTAAAATTCAATATATCTCACAGGTGTATTATTTGTGCCCAACGGCTTGAACAACCTCGAAAATACAATCGTCGCCTCGGGGCCGAGCACGCCGGAAATTCGAAATACACACATACAATGAGAGAGTATATATGGCGTTCGCTCGGCCGAGTCCCCGCGGAAAGGAAAAATCCCCCGTCGGCCCTTCCGGAAAATCAAACAAGGGGGAGAGAAAGCAGAGGTCGGTCGAACTTGTTTGTTTCTTTCTTTCTTTCTCTCATTTATAAAAAATAGCGCGGCTTGCGTGGGTCAGTGAGCAAGAAGGGCCGGTCCGGTGCTGCGCGTCTCGGCTGCTCTCCTCTCTACTTTGGTCTTGCGTAGGGCACTGTCCGGAAACGGGTCCTGTCCGCCCCTGCCCCGCCGGCAGGGGGTGCTTTGAAGCTCTTCCAGTGGCCGCCCGCAGCTGCGTCTGCCCAAATGCATATAATTTTTTGCATTACTCGACTGCTCTCGTTTGATGTCGGTGCCAAAACTCGTTGCTGCATTGCTTTTTTTGCTGCAACCCCAAAATAGATTGCTTCTTGGAAATTGAAATGGATTACTCTTGGCGCGCTCGACCAATGTCATTATAATTATCTTTTCTTTAAATTAAGAAACTGTACGCAATTTTTAATTAAAGGGTCTGACAACTTTTGCAAAATTAAAATTCCACACGTGAGAAATGTTAATCTTAATTGGTTTTATTTGTTCTTTTGAAAATTTATTACTGACAAAAATTGATGGCGTAATCAGCAAAAAAAAAATTGAAGGTCTTATATCCAATTTATTTGGCCAGAAATAATGTTCTGAACTTCAGTCTAGCAGTTCATTAACGGAAAGTTTACGGACCCTTAAAAAACCCACACCAGTATTTTTTTAATTCTGATTGTTTCATGATCGATGGAAAAATCGCCATCTAAAAATTCAAACCTTTTATGGTTGAAACAAGGTATTGCCTTTTCCCGCCAAAAGCATTAATGCCTTTAAGCAGTTTAAGCCTTAAAAGCCTTTATTGCACAAGATAAGACTTATTTCCCTTCTGATTGAAATCTCAGAAAAATCTTCAACAAATCCTTGATTCAACTGTAAAAATGCGAATTTTCCAGCTTTCTTCGATCGACAGTCAGGAAACTTTGTCGACTTTCAGAATAAAAAATATTCACCGGTGTTGGTCTTTAATGAAGCGTTCTTTTGTTTCTTTTTTTTATTAGGTGCTTCTTTTAATTAAAGTTTTTTTTGTTCTCTTCTTTTAACTAAACCAAAGAAAGAAACGCATTAAGTGGAAACAATTGCAAGGCAGCAGCGAGTTTTGTGTGTTAAATGGCGACTTTTTATTCCAATCACGCGAGCCCACTTTTCAGCAACGTAACGATTTTTCACCTTGGTGGAGAATTAATTCGCCATCAATTATCAGTGGGCGAGGTGTGATTGGAATAAATTTCACCAACCGTGTGCCACAAGAAAGGCTAAATTTCTTTACACTTATGAATTATTAATGAAGTTTAATTAAATCTTAGAGGGCTGGATGGATGAGAGAGTGGAACCTTAGCTGCGCATAAATTACTTTTGCAATAATGAAACTTGTCGCCACAGTGCCGTCTACCTCTCGGTAAAAAAAAAAAAATGCAAATAATTCTGTGCTTTAATGAAATTTTGGCTATTTGGGACGAGGAAATTTAATCCCGGGGGTAGCGAAAATGTTTAAAACTTTTGCTGTTTGTCAAAAAAGAGACTTTGCGAATTCAAAAAGACAGACTTACACCCCTTCAGATTAATTACACGCAAGTGAAAAAGAGTGATTTTCGGAGGACACGCGAGTATGCAAATTTGAAAGCTTTGAAATGAGAGAAAGAAATGTTTCAACAAAGGAGGCGCACGACTCGCCGAAAGGTAGAAAGGAGCCAATTAGTGCTGGAAATTCGGACAACAGAAAGAAAAGTTGTTCCGAGTTAAATATTTAAAGTCTGTTCTGGTGCCGTGGTGCGTGAGCATTCAAATATCTGCTTTATTTCCGCTACCCCGGTGATTCGAGAAAACGGGCCGGACTGCAGAATTGCAAACACAGAGAGGAGAAGCAATTAACAAGCGTCTCGTCAATTAAAATCGTTTTCCGCCCTTTTTGTACTGCAATGACAAGTGCACACTGCAGATTTCTCCCATCACACAAAGCCTTCCTTGCTTGCGCCAACAGTGACTAAATTAATCCTTTTCAATCCTTTTTGCGCTCATTGTGCAAATGCGAAATGTGTTCAAGCACGGACAGCCAGTCTGAATCGTTCGCTGAGGCTCAAGAAAAATAAAAACAGAGGGAAAAATGCGGGGAAGGCTCACGCGGCTCAACTTGCCTTTTAATTAAAAAGCATTTTCAGAGGTATGCAACCGGCTCGACAAGGACGTCAGAGAAATTGCATAAAATTTTCAATTCAGGCGTTTCACTCAAAACAGAGAATTTTGTAAAATATTTGAAAAATTAAGAAACTGGTGAATTAACACTAATTTTAGTTCAAAAGAAAATTTGAAACTTTAAATCTAGCCGATGATTGCTGGAAAATCTGTGAACTTTTTTAATAAGGGATTTGTTTGGTTCACAGGCTTTGCAGATATTAAAATTGTTGACGAAATATAAAGAAAAGGTTTTGCTACATTTTTTACTGCAACAGAGCAATTACACCTTTCAAAACTTATTGGGGCCAAAACCTAAATTATAAAAATTATAAAAACCGGCCATCATTTGCAACTAAAAATTATTCCTCTTTTTCATTGGTATGAAAATACTAGTAAGCATGTTTTTTTCCCAGTACAAGGAAACGCTTGTAGCCATTCCATCTCGTCCCGTTTCAAACAATTTTCCTTTGTCACAATGAAAAAATTAACAGCTCAACACTTGGCGCGGCACACAGCAGTTTGACACCCGAGAGAGCGTGTCATCTCACAAAATATGTACAGGCGAGACAAAAAGGTGGCCCACTTTAATGAAATTCATGCGCGCCTCCAAACAACAAACAACACACGGAGGGCTCTCGAAAATATAACCAACGCAGCATTCGTGACGTCGCAGCCGGATGAGTTAAAAAAAGAATAATAAAAAATCGGCTAGTGGCATTTAGTGAGCCTTCCCGGTGTACTTGTGTGTAGCACTTGAAAGGGCTGAATCTCCAAACATTTGCATATATTGTACACGTGTGTCTGCAAATCCAGCCGTGCAAGCAACTTCTATTCTAATCCGGCCTCGCATTCTCTGCTCTAATTACCAAGAGAGGTGATAAAGGGGTGATTGAGAGTGTGTAATGTCAGTGTGTGGCGGGCGAGACGAAACGCACGCGTGTATTACAAACGTGGAATGCATGTAATTAGTGTGCGACTCGACATATATGTATATAATTATTAGATATTGTATAAGAAAAAATCGATTTGCCTGGAGAGAGATGATTTTTTTTTACACGCGATTTAGAGATCTTACTTTCTTTCGGTGGTGAAAGAAAGTCAACGTCGGTTTTAGTTTGTGTGCAAAATGCACCAATCAAGTTGTTTAATTACTTTTTTTCGGTTTGGTTTTCGAGATTTAATTAAATTGCGCGCCATCGATTAAATTCCATCCGTGCTTAATTAAAATTTAGGAGGCCGCCGCCTCTCTCGAGAGGGTAGCTCGCTCGCATATTTTTTTGTCTTGCTAGTTGGAAATGCCTCTGATATCACAGCGCTGTTAATAAAATGATGTGTATTATCTCGTGGAAGAAGGCTAGAGATCACAAGCCGCTCGAATTTTCAGCAGCAGGTCGTGCTGCCTGTTACTCGTTAGCATGCACCGCCACTCACCAGTGTAGCCGTCTGCGGGCTCGTAGTAGTCCCCCAGGTTGTCGTCGTAGTCGTCGTACCCTCCGTACCTGCGAACACACCTCCTTTCTTTGTTACACCTGCTGACAAAAAAAGAGAAAAAGGGGACCACCCGCCGATTCGGACGGTGGCACAAATCGCGATTCCCTGGTGACGTTTTTTATCCGGAAAATGCATGGCCGGGATCAGTGGATGCAGGGGTGGATATCAGAAGAAAATACTGCTTGACACGCTGATTTGGGTCTTGTGATAGGGCGAGTATAGGAGTTGTAAAAACTTCTGAAGTAATTGGAAAAGTCGGGAAATAATTGCTAGAAAAAAGAACTTTGACAACAACTGCAATATGATATTAGGGAACTTTTCATATTAGATTTGAATATCTGGAATAATAAATGCGGTATTTATTCAGTATTCAAAAGCAGGTTATTTAAATGGATTTTAAAAAGCGAGGCCTGAAATTTTTTAATCTTATTTTAATATAAAAGATAGTTTTAATTCATTTTTTAATTTAATGGATAATTTCTAATAATTTTAAATTTTAATTTATTACACATTTAATTATTAATAACTAAATAATGTTATGAATAAAATGAAACAGTTCATATTTTTGCTGCTTCCAAAATCTCATACTTCTTTTACCCTCATAAAATCTCATTGTTCCCTTTATGTATTGCTTTTGTCAGGTTTTGCAATAATACCTCATCTGTTACCCCAAGGTGCCAATTTTCAAACATGCGAATTGAAAATTCATGGAGTTCCAAGGAGGTCCGCGGGGTCACATTTTTTTCTGGGTGGGCTTCGGGAAATAATTCTTGGGGTGGTGCCTCCATTTCCCGTCAGACAGAAAAAGAGCTTTGCGGAGAGAAGGATATACTCGGCCGACACAATGGCATCTTCCTACAGGCCTCCCGAGACCGCTGGTGATAAATAAAAAACTTTTGAGGGACTGCTGTATATTCAAAACAAGGCCAGACCACACGGCATATTTCTCCCGTAATTCGATTTTTTGCTGGAAACTTTTGTGCCCAAAGTGATAACGGCGAAAGCTCTTTAGAAACTCAATTGGATTTGCGGTCTCTTTCGAAAAAAGCAGAAAATGCTTTTAGAAGTTTTTTTTTGTGCTGACTGAAAGAGCCGACATGCGTTTTTGCGGCTTTATTAATTTCATTTCAATTCTTACTAAGCTGCTTTTCCGCCGCTTCCTGACAACAAATTATCGCTGGCTCGGAAAAGTATCATCGAGAAGTTTTGATTGCTTTTGAGGGATTCGAGTGGAATCTTGGGGGAAGAAAGGAATGCCGAGGCACGTTCTTCATTAATCAATAAAACTGTCAGACTGTTCTGTTGTGTCCAAAGAAAACTACTTTCCCACAAGGCAGACATTTTTTTTCTTGATTTGTTTCATTAGAAAAACTTTCCATATGAATACAGCCATAAATCAGCTCTAAAATCGGCCATTGACACATTTGCGCCACCAACTTTTTCACAAATTAATTTTTGCCCGTGCAAAAAAAAGTACGACTGTAATTACGGTAGCACGCCTGAGGAGAACAGGCGGAACAATTACACGTAATCCTTGCGGGGTGCAGCACTAATTAGGGCCTTTCCCCCAAGGTACAGAGCGGAACAAGAAAGAGGCGCCTTTGTTGCAGCCACACAAAAAGGCACGCTTCGAGAAAAACACACATTCTGCGCTGGCCCGAATTGAATAGAAAAAGCACAAGTTTTCCCAATAGAACGACAAATCTCACTGGCCCGCCGCCTCGGACAGCGGCTCTGTGAGTGTGTGACTTGGAGGGTCGCCAATATTCATACGATAAAACATCGGAAGCAGACAAAAATGGGAAATGAGAATAATTTTAAAATTAAATTTTTAAAAATTAATAATAATAATCCAGGCTAATTAAATTTTTGTAGGAAATCAATCAAAATGTAGGTATTAAGTTCGATATCACGGTCTTTTAAATAATTAAACGTGTTCAATGGAGATTTAGTTAAATTCTAATTTTTGCACTTTTTCTTGTATAGTTTGACTTACAATTCAAATTTTTAATTTTATGATTGATGTTTTTGGGTAGAAAATGACAGGTGTTATATCAATAAACAAACTTTATTTGAAACTGAATTTAAGTGTAAAAAAAAAAAATATAATCGGAGATCACATCATGATATATCTAAAAAATTAAAACTGATAATTATGATGAATTAGATAGTTGGAGTGTTACTTAAAAAGAATGCATTATAAGTATAAAAAATAAAAAATTTCGCAGATTATATTCTGCAGGCGTGCATATTTACAAACTATTACGCCTCTTTGTGTAATTTTGGTCACTTTTTAATTTTCAAAACATATTTTTCTGATCAGCATCTTTTTGTGACATTTTCCTTTCAGACAAATGTTGGCCCTGCAGCCACTGGGATAGGAGGAAAGCTGCTGAGAGCAAAGCAAACTCTCTCGTGCGAATGAAATATTATATTGCGTCGCCAACGTCTCGCGGGGGCGGCGATGCGGTTGATTGCAAAAATCACGCATGCTCTGCGAAAAACCAACACGCGGCGCCGAAACGTACCGGTGAAAAATTAATCAGGCCTCCCTCCCTTCAGTTTTAAAATTCCCATCATGCAGATGAGCCGTGGCCATCACGGGCGCGGCATTATTCACCGGCGTGCTGAGCAAACACGTCCGCCGAATAATTTATGACTCGGGGCGACACCTCGGCCTCAGCGAGATTAGAGATCGCCAGCCTGCCCGTCCGAGACATTTTCCCGCGAGAACACAAGACAAATTTTTGCTCCGGTCGAGCGAGCGAACTGCAGTTTATATACAAGTCGTAAACCTTGCTCAGTCCGGAGTGCGCTTTTTATGGACCTGAAAACTTGAAAAGGCGAGAGGTGTTTTACACCTGATTTGAATGCGGTTTTTAACCCGCAGCAACGGGCGACCCTCTCAATAATAACGGCTTGATTAAATTTTACTGCGCCGTAAAAATATTGTTCGAGCGGAAAAACGCCCGCCAGGAATGTGTGCTGCAGTTTCATGCAGAGGTAAAATGAACCGCGGCTGAAAAAGCAATGAAAACAGATATTGGAAAGAGAACAAATGCTGACAATGAGGTTAAAATTTTTCTTTTTCAATATTTTATTTCTACTAGAAATGACTAGCAGACATGTGAATTAAAATGGTGTTTTGAATTTCTTATGAATTTTCTTATATTTTGGTACATTTTTTGCCCAATTTTAAGAAATTTTTTATTTTGTGAATTATATAATGTGATTGCAGTAAAATTTCATACATACAACAAAAGCACCACAGTCTATCAAGAAATATTTGTTCTATATTTTTAGTACATAAAAAAGTTAATATATAATGAAAATTTAAATCGCCGCACTATTAAAATCTAATTGAATTAAAAAATAATAGTTTATGGTTTTTAGTTTCTCTGCGGCATGCAATTTTTTTGCGATAGATAATAATATATTATTGTTGTTTCTTAAGCAAAATAACAATTAAAAACTATAATGTATTATTTAACGTATTAATTAAAAGGATGAAAAATACCTTAAAATTTAACTTCTCACAATGTCAAGTGTATAAGAGAAATAGGATAGGGCATTTTATTGCGCGCACATTTGTCATTGGAGACGGGAAGAATGGTATAAAATTTCACGGTCTGAAAGAGGGAGAAGCACCGCTTGATTTTCCCAACACACTAGAATGCTTTTCCATCCCGGTGGTAAGTGGACTGCATTCCAAAGATTTCTCATCTTTCTTCACACGGAAAGTTAGAAAATAGGACCAATCAATGCCCCTCTGTCATTTTTCTGCTCTTCTACAAGAGGGATAGAACATTCAAAAGTAGTCGAAAGAGGTTTCAATTAATTTTTTTTTGCAAATTAACTTCTAATAATATTACTTTCAAACATTATGTCATCCCTGGCACAAATTACGCAAGGAGGGGCTTTTGACGTACTCAAACCAGGCCATTGTTTGATTACTGCGCATATCGGAACCCAAATTACTCTTTTTCACAACTTAAATGGGTCAAAAAAGGGTCAGCAAGACCCAGATTTCACGCCGGCATGATATTTCTTGTGCTTTTTGTACTAAAAGAGCTATTTATTTTAGCAAAATCAACCGGACAATTTTTTGTGCTAATATATTATTCTACTTAAAATTTGATTTTTCCCTGCTCTAGTTAAAGAAACTAAAAGTTTTGTGAAAATACTGTCCTGAAAGTTAGAAACGAGCCATGGCCAATCAAATTTCACTGATTATGATTTTAAATTATAATAACTAAAATGTGTTTTATTGGATTTTAATATTTGTGACAAATCCATTCCTTCTCAAAAGATATTTTTTTTTATAGAAACCAAAGAAATTATTGAAATTACCGTAAAACAAAAAACAAACTAATGCTAAACATAAAGTGTCAGATAATTTTTTAGAGAACCTGCTTCTTGAAGGAATGAAAATTTTCAATTGAGTCCAAATTTGAAATTGCAAACTCACCCGACAGGGTCATAGGCATTGTAGTAGCACTCCTCGTACTGGTACGATTCCTCCATGGCCACTCTGGCCCTGTCAAGGATGCTCATGACCTTCTGCTTGGGGGATGGGCGGACCAGCATGTTGGCGCCTGGCGGCGGCAAAGGGGCTTTGCGGAGGGGGTGCGGTCCGCGGCCGCCGGTGAGAGGGGGCGGCAGGAGGCTTCCGCGGCCCCCGCGGCCGCCGGGCATGGGCCCGCGGAGAATGGGTGGGGGCGGGAGGCCCCCGCCGCGGCCACCCCCGCGGCCGCGCATGCCCATGGGCATCCTACGGCCGCCGGGCATTGGTCCCACGCTGGACACTGGGGGGCTGGTCACGGGGGAGGGGGAGGAGGCGGACGACGAGTTGGCGCCGTTGGCCCCCGGCGAGTCGTCGCCGCCACCCAACGTGTTCTGCAGCAGTTCCATCTCGCGCATCTGCTCTTGCCGGATCTCGTCATTGCTGTCCGGGATCAGGTACTTGCGCACCTCGGCCAACGCGTACGCGATTCGCGCGTGGGCCTCCGCCGGCGGCGCGTACGCCGTGATCTCCACGTGCAATTCCTCTCCCAGGTGGCAGTACTTTGGGTCCATCGAGGCGCGCAACTCCTCCTCCTGAAGCAAACGAAAAATATTATTTAATATAAATAACAAATATTTTTTTATTTTGTATTGTTAATTGTTATCCTCGTTATTTATTCATCTAATAATTGTTACTCCATAATCATTAATATTTTGAGGATTTTGCATGTGTATTTTTTGTATGTTTAATTGTTTAGTTGTTTCTAGTGAAAAATGGCGTGAGGGTAGTGTCTTATGTTTATGTTTTTCAGTATAAAGAAGTAGTTGAAACATTGGAAACAATCAAGTCCTTCTGGTGAGCCGCCCTGGAACTGGGTGAAATCTTGATCCAGTCCAGTTTTCCTTTGTTCCTGAGTTTAATTTTTTTTTTGACACTCAAAAAGATAATTTTCGGAGCATTAAAAATCAATTTCCTAACTAAAAATCAAAATTTCGATTTGCATTCAATATTCTCAATCCACAGTTTCAGGAAAACAACATAATCTCTCAAAAATTATATACGTCTACTTGTAATTTTAATCCAGAACAATGATAAAAAAATATAGCAATGCGCTATATATTGAGGCTCTATTCTGTTTTAAACCTATATTTCCCCACTTTCTTTCAGAGACCTGAACTGATTTAGCCCTAAAGTTCTGGACAAAAAAAGTTCAGGTTTATGCTAGAGATTTATCATATTTATTATTATTAGAAAATAATATTATTTGCTATTATTTCATTTTTCCTTTTTGGTGTGTTTGCCAGAAAATTGATCACTCTTATTTGAATTAAAACGATTCCTATGTGAAAATTTAAAAATCTCAGAGATTCTGATATTACTTTTTATGTACAAGTAAATAGGAAAAATTTTATGAAATTAACTAACACAATCGCTCGCCGTCTGCCTCTTGTGATTCTCTCTCTGTTGATCAACTGGAAATAAATTTCGTCCGTGCTACTTTGCTTATCAACACACGCCGACTGGATGTATCAATAGGATGAAGCGTATAATGCTGTTCTTAATAATATATTATTATTACAAATTAAAACTGTGTAAGGAGGACACGCTCATGTATTATAAAAACAATAAGCAATTTTATATTTTTCGCCACGGCAAGTGAGAATAATTTGTCAAAGTACTTATATAATAGTAAAAGTATTTTTTTTTCGTGAGATTGATGGAGCTCAATTTGCATTCGTTGCCTTGAGTATTTCCGAGCTACTTTATTATTCATGAGTTTTATGACTTGATATCATAATGGAGAAAGCGGGGAGGAATGTTTCGCCTTGCTTTATGTCGCTCGTAATGGCTCGTGTTTATTGATAATAAATTTGATCAAAGACACAAACACTCCCTCTTATTCACGTGGCGGTTGGCAAGCGCGGGCAACCCTGGCTTCCTTTCCCTCGCCCGCAAATTTCGCCGGTCCGCTCTGGAATTTTTCATTAGAGAGGGCCCGGCATGTTTAAAGCAGTAATAATTATGTCGTCGTCTGCGTGTGCATTTAAATTTCGCCTAATATCGCGCGTACCGGAAGCCGCCGACCAAAATTATATGGCGGAATGTGCACCTTATTTGTCTCCAAAATTGCGAAGCGACCTTCGAAACCAGCATTGAGGCTTTTTAACTCTGGTCCAAATAAATGGGCAATAATCAAATCTTATTGTTAGATTAAAAAATTTAAAGAGTTTAATTTTACCGATCTCTTTTGAAATAAAAATTCAGAAGATAATTTGAAATCTTGCATGCGTAAAGCAGGGTAAAGTTTTTTTTATTATTATTTAGAATAATTTTATTTTTTAAATATTATGGTGATTAGAATTTAAAGTCAGCTTTTCCTTGATAAGTTTTTTGAGGATTTTTTTTCTTATAAATAAGTATTTAAATTCAAATCACCATAAATGTCTCCGATCATGAAATTTTACCACATTTTTTGGATCAGCGTGGAAAAATGCACGCGATGATTCAATAAATATTTTTAAACTTAACCTGACACGATTAATTTAATTAATTTTGAATAATTTTTAATTTTAAAAAATAAATAATGAATGTACTTTCTACAAGCAGCATCAAAGATTCATACATTTTTATTAGTTATAGAAGGGAAATGAATTAATCGTGTTTTTCTGCCCTTAAATCTATTTTCCACGATTCGAGTTGAAGTCATCTGAAACCGATGTTTGTGAATCTTGTCTGGCTTGTTGACATAAACGGTGAGTGGAGCACAAACTGTAGAAAAATATTGCCGGTGCTCTTTCCTCCACTATACGGCGCCAACCCTGGTGTCTATTTGCCGAGCGATTTCAATCACAATAAAAGGGCGCCGTCCGTGAACCGGTGCAATTTGTGAATAAACATATTATACACGCCACCTGTTGTTTGGTTTTCGGCCAAGTGGAAAATGAACACCGCATTTTTGACACCGTCGGCGTTTCGCTTGCTTTATTATCATAATCCGCGAGCTAATGGAAACCGACGGCAATTTATTGTTTGGCGATCCCAGCTGTCGTTTTAAATGACGAGATGCAATTTGAATGCCATCAACTTCAATTAATTACCTGCATTAGCCCGTGTAATGACGTGCGGCTTAATTCGAAACACATGGCGACAGATGATTTTAATTCCGAATGAGTCACGCCGGCTAATTAAATTGTGTGCTCGGTCTGCGAAAAATAAGGTGCAATGAAAAAAAATTGAGGTCGTAAAATTTTATTATGAAATAGACGCAGCTAAGGGTGGATCTGCTTAACTGCAAAATTTGTCATTTTAATGGAGCTCGATTCACTTGAAAGCCGCGGTGTTTAATTTTTTTGGCTTAATAACCAATTAGGCGGCGCTTGCTTTGAAATTAGACTGTGCCAAGGTGGCGTTAACAGGCCAGCACACTAAAATAGATTTACATTTTTATTCACCGTTAAGCTTTAATTAAAATTCTGTTGCAGAATAATCCATGATATAATTTTTTTTGGAAAAGAGATTTCTCTATTTTTTTTTCTTTTAGATTTTCTATATTTACGATCTTATATTGCCCTAAAATTTTCTTTACTTCTTCTCACAATCAGTCTTTCCATTTCCATGTAACTCTGAATAGGATTAGAAGAAAACGGTTGTGTCAAAATAATTCACAGACTTAACTTGAACTATACATGATTTATTATTATTATTCTAAAGTCATGCAGCTTTTCCAAGATTTTTTTAATTGAATTTTACAATTTTTTCCTTATTTTTGCTTTGAAGGATACACATTGTATTGCGGTAACATAAATATTAAAAGTGAAAGGAAATCTTTGCATCAAAAGTACACTTATTATTAATAAGAGAAAAACAGCTTATCATTTTTTTATCATCTCAAAACCAAGAGAAAAAAATTCAAAATTCATATGAAATCTGAGTGTTCATATAAATTTGTGTCATTTGCAAATGAAAGAAGTGAACCAAAATTTAGGCGCGTTAGCCGGCCATAATGAGAAATGTGAAACCGTAGTTAATGACGCAGCATTAAATTTATAGAACATAGTTTTTTCGCAGCTCAATGAGTTTTCGTAAAATAATGAGGTCCCACCAGTGTAATACGTATAGTACATATCACTGGACAATAATCGCCCGCTTTCACACCAAGCTTCATGGGTCGAGTTCACGCCCTGAGACTCTCCAAGCAAGATTCCAATGAATTGGTCATTTGCTAAAATAAAAATTGTATTATATTTTTATTTTAAAATATCGCAAAAAACTTATAGCGCAAGTAAATATTTAGCATGGAAATAAAACCAATCCTTAGCTGTGCAATTGCTTTCCATTTTATAAACTCACCGTGATAACTAACAAGTTGAGCGAATTCTGGTTGAGTTGGTTCCCACAACTTTTTCCCGAGGGCGCAGCAATAAGAATATGCACCAACAGCATCCTTCATAATCAATTATTAACAAAATTTCCTTCTTGTGAACATATAAACTATGTACATATCCAGACGTTAAAGTATATATATCATTAGCTTTAAACAATGGCTGGCCTGGTGTGTATCTGTCTGTCAAAGTACCATTCACAGCTGCAAAAATGGAATTGTAATCTTTTTTTATTAATTAAATAATCAACAAGAAGTTAATACTTGAATTATTTGCATTTAGTTCCGCAATAAGCACAGGCTTGAAAAAAAATATTTTATAAGAATTATTATTTATAATAAACTAATACATCTGCAACACAAGGGTAGTTGTCCCTCAAATAACAATCACGCGCCACTTTGACGCACGGCACTGGAGGCAACAACTTAATTGAAATTGATGCAATTTGTCAGATTTTGAGAGTAATTATTTGGCCATCTCACGTTAGTATTATTGCCCATATTATTTTGAACTATATTGCTTATGACATCTGGTGCTTTGTCTTGGCCGCATTTGAAGATTTCATGAGCCAGCACGCACTCGTTATCTGCCTCTAAAATTGTTGTTTTTTTTAAGCATAGTACCGATAGTGTATAAAATAAAATAAAACTTTTCCCGCCACATTCGTCGTAAGCTACGAAACTTTGCTGCAATTTCACCGGCTCCTCTTGGACGGCGAGTTCAATTTGTCTCAAAGTTTCGATGGCGTCCAATCCCCCAGTGGTAAACTTTGTCACAACAAAAGATTGATTAAAAAATTGAAATACTTGAAGTTGTTACCATTCCAACTTCAACGCCAATGCATTTTATAAAGCACTATTATATTCAATAAGAATAATTAGTATTGATAAATTAATATTGTTCAAACCTTCAAATTAAGTGAAATATTCAAAGTTGGAAAAACTGTTAAATTTAGAAGGACGTCGATGTCCGCTAAGATTAGACAGCTATTTATTAAATGTACACTTTTAAGATATTGAAAATAACATTCTTTTATGTTCCAAATTTCGGCACATTCCGTTTGCATTGCCTTTCCTGGAGTTCCTTCCTTCCTGATTTCACACAGAAAAGTTTTATTGTTCATGCAGTTAGAGGATATTAATTCCAATGGAGCGCTTCTATTTTGTTTAATTTCTATGGCGACGCAGTCAGAGTTGGAAATCGGATGTCCGGATTTCCAACGAATTTCATTTTGCACAAATGGCTTGCGCAGCGAACACCAACGGTGTTCCCCATCGCATCCCTGATCCGTCCCTGAAAGCCACAGGTCACCTTTGGCTGCGGTAGAAAATTCTGCAATGCACATAATATTTTTATTTAATAAAAACCATGAAGCTCTTTGAATCAGCTACGCTTATTTATCCTTGAAATGCAATCCAATTTCCCAATGGATTCTGCCGAGGCCAAAGACAGACCAACATCGCAACATTTTTTCCAGGCTGAGGACCAATTAGTCTATAGTTTTTAGTAGTTTTGAGGAATGCCAATGTTTTTAATGCAATTTAAAATCGTTTACTGCATCTCCATAAAATAGAAAATTTCTCCCGCAATTGCTAATCCACGTGCCGTAAGAGTTGAAATCTTATTTTTTTCTTTATGTTATAAATAATTTTTTTTCAGAACTTAATATTCATACTATCCAATTGGTTTCCATTAAAAAGGCTAGTCTGAAATTTCATATATTTTTAAGAGCGCAGATAAATTTGGGTTAGCTACATTCCGTGGGCAATCGTCGTTTGGACACGTCGCAACACATGCAGGCAATGGAGTTGTCCGAGGTGCCTTTAATTTTTTTTTATCATAATAATATGAAAAAATAAATATTTAATGATAGATACTTTGCAAGCAAAAATGTATTTCCCGGTGCAATTCCGATCAGTTAGAATGGCACCTGTGTCATTTGCCGTGAATCGCAAGTGAACGCAGTTTTCATTTCCTCTTTCATTGTCAGGTTGGCCTTTTTCCCACACGAGTTGTTTATCAAAAATTGTCGTTCCGGTTGGCTCGCAAAATGAAAATTGTGCCGGGGATCCTTTTTGCGTTCCTGAAGTCCAGTAATTAAAATTGCCCTTCCAAGTCCCTATTTTTAATTCATTAAAATAGACACGTAGTAATTATTTCTAAATAAACCATTTGTCAATTTCGTCAAGCAATTTTGTTCACTCAGCGAGTCGATGTTCAGAGGTTCCATTCCCAGGCTGCAGCAAAGGTCCCAATTTTCCGCCCAATAAACCTAGTGTCAATTTTAAAGTTGGGATTTAATCTACTTTATTTGTCTTTTACTGGACGATTGCCAAGTAAATAGGTGAAATTGCAAACGTCAAACCAAAGTCCAAGTTTGCTCCGATCTAATTTATTTAATTAAGTTGTAAAATCTTGAAAGTCAAAAGCTGCTTCTTAATACCCTTTAGAACTCCCTTAACATCAAAAAGGGAAGCCTTGTAAAAATTTATTATTATAACTTATTGAATTATTCTGACAATGAAAAGAATTTCAAGATTAGTACATTTTTTGAGCACGTAATAGGGCATTCGACTGTAAATTCACAAATGTACAGTAACGCATCGCTACACTTTTTGTGCAGCATCCCTGTCGTGCTACCCGTGTTTTGCAGAGCAAGGCACCTCTCCTGGTCAGAACTCGCATTTCGCGTGAGCCAGAATTTGGCTGCTTCCACCAAATTTATCGAAGTTATTTCTGAATTGCACCAGGCGTATTTTCCCGCTAAATTGCACCCCTCGTCCTCATTAGAACCACTGGTCCAGTAAGAATTTTTTGCTTTATTATTTTTCACATATTATTTAAAAATGGTTATATTTATTAAATCGATAATACTCTTTGATGAGGAAAAACAGTCCATTTCACTAAGAGAATTGATCGCCAGAAGTGTCATATTCCTCGATTTGCACCTCAAAGCTGCCTCATTACGTGTTACCTTGAGTAGGATGATTGAATTTCAATATTTTAAAAGAAGATTTTACACCTACGCTTTCGTTGGAAATGAAATATTTTCTGCCACAACTTAACGCTGTCACAGCTCCGTCAGCTGAAAAGGGTCAATGAATAATAATAAATGAATTTTTTTACGGATTCTGTGTTCTATAAAATAATTGCATGAAAATTTAATTTAATGAAAAAAAACACCAACTTTCTATCAATAAATTGAATATAAAAGTAACAACAACAAGGAACTTTATTTCTTTACTTATTAATAGATTAAAAAGCATACCGGCAGGTTTTGGAGTTTTTGCCTAGGAAAGCATACATATAATAATGGTAATGAATTTTTCTAAATGTAAAATTAAAAATTACCTGCACAGCAGCAGTATACGCTTGACATGATAGAATGCACGGCTGCAAATTTGCGAATTGAACTTGAATAATTATATTTTTAGATAACACAGACGTACTGCAACAGTGGTTGTGGTTATTATGGTTGGTGTGGTTGGTGGCAAAGTGAAACTTTGAGATGTTTGAGGACCAGTAATTGCCAGGATAGAAATAGTAGATACTGCAGAAGAAGAAAGTTTGGTTGAATCCTGGTTTGTGGTTCCTAAGGAAGACCCTGCCGAAGTTGGGAAGACGCTAGTAAACATTGTTGGTTGTGAGTTTGGATTGTTTGCATTTGTCATAAAAATAGCATTTCCGGGAGGCGTCAGAGTATCATTTCCAACTCCAGAAATTGCGCTTGAAGTTGTTTCTAATTGTGCGTTGGTTTGTTTAGTAAAATCAACGGCAACTGGTTGGTTCGAATTTGGCTGAGTCACAACAATTGTGGAATCATTTCCCCCTGGTTCAGTGAGACCATCAATAGGAGATGAAGTTGTTGTCTCCTTCACAACAGCTTCACTAACTTGAGAATTTTCACTTGGCGCTTTACAATGTAAATTGATGGATTTTTCTTTTTATTTGAAAATAATAAAAAACCATTACATGTATTCTGAGCATCACTAGAAGTTGAACCACTCAATATAAATTTTGTGGTTTGTTTCAATTTGTCTTTTGGCTAATAATTTAAATTTCAAATTAGAGACAAAAATAAGTTTATGAATAGACAAAATTTTCTTTCACCTGATTGACTGTAGTTAAAACGTTCGTTTTGTTTTTCCCAAGACATTTAGTGAGACCGCAACATCTAATTATGCGATTCCTACGCTGGACCAATTTTCTCAGAGGTAGTAGAATAGGTGCTGCTCTTTTAACTTAAATTAATCCCAATGTAAAAATAAAAATCAATTCATCACCATTGTTTGCATTTTTAGGAATAGACATTTTAAATATCTTGACTGCATTGTCCTTACCAAATTAAAATCGCTCAGTTATTGACATTGGAAATTATTTACTATCAACTCACTTTCTTATTCGCAGCACCAACAAGGTAAATGGTACTTAAGAGCACTATCGCAGTAGAAATTTTCATTGCTTGTCCTTACCGAGTTTCAAATGTATGTGACGATTGACTTTTATGATGACATTTAATGATTCAGGAAGTGAGGCACGAGCGCATTGCGTCCTTGCTTATTTGATTCATTTCAAAGAATTATAATGCATATACGGAAGTAGGCAGGCTATTCATCATTTCAATTTATTGGGACAAGACCACAGAAACATCCGGAGGGCAACAGAAGCGTAAATGCATATTTCACTTAATATTTGCGGCAGTAGTAGAGACAATCAATAATTATTAATTATGGTGCTAGAAGTGTTAGAATTGTTTTTAAATTTTGCGTTATAGCCCTAAATTTATTTAAAACAAAAATTTGGAAAAAAATCGGGTACGTTTTTAATTCAAAAGTTCATTTGTGAAAATTTAAGTTTTTTGTGAAAGTTAGATTAAGATCACTGTATAGTCTGGCAAGACTATGCTTTAAAATCGTTGTCAATATCATTATGATCTAACTATACATAGTAGAATACTAAAAACCAAAATTACAATATAAAACCAATCTTGTGTAATTTTCAAAGATTATTTCAACGCATTTTACTTTGCAAATCAAATAATAAATTTTAATAATTGTGCAATTACTTGAATGCCGTAGCAGGTTGGCTGAATTTGAGTTCGTCGTTGGCGGGAATTCATTAGCGCGTGAATTATTAACGGCGCGCTAAACGTTATCCGTGGGTGTTGTACGCGCTGCAAGTGATGTGTTATTTAATTTCACGCAAATTGGAAAACAGGTGATTTGCATTTCTCCGGGCAAAGGCGCACCGGGCAAAGGAGCAATCTATTATCATTAGACTGGCGGGCGAATTTATTAGGCGGCGGCTTATAAATTTTACCATTCCGCCCCGGAGTGTGCGATTCAATTAAGTCGGCGGGGCCGCCATTGCTCGCTCGCTCGCACAGCTTCATTATTTCACATCGATTTTAACACGGAAAAAAAACGCAGCGGCAGGTCCGCAGAGGAAAGAGGCGGTCGGCCGATCGTGTTTCTCTCTCTTTTTTTTTATTTCATCTGGCGAGAGAGCGGCGAAATTAACCTGTAAAGAGGCGCATGCAGCCGGCTGCTGATTCGCCACTATCGATTTTATTTCTCTCTTTACCTTTTGCTTGTCCCTCATCGAGCCGCGTCCCAGCACAGCCATTTTCGTCATTGTCTCCTCTTGCAATCTCTTCATCGAATTTCCTTTGGGACCCAGCAGCTTGCCCACAAAATTGAACTGAAACAGAGAGACAAGGCGAAATTTTCACTACATGCACTTGAGCGTCACGTATATTGGTTTTTGCATGCGACAAAATCTGTTCTGCGGTTTGCTGAACGAGCCTGAGCAGGCGGATTCTCGTTCATGCTGGAATGACCTTCAATGCAATTTTCCTTATATAATCAGGAAAATGATTTGATCCGAAAAGTTGGGGCGGTGAAATTTATCACATATGGAAGAAAAATAGTTTTGTCAAAAGAATTATTTTAAAACTTAAAATTATTATAATTAGAAATGTGATCTATATTTTATTTAGTATTTTAAAACTTAAAGCAACAATACACATGCAGTTGATTGAAAAAATATGATAACGCAAAATCTCAAAGCTTTTTATGTATTTCTATTTAACGCAACAATTATTTTTGGATTATATTGTTACAAAATTTATCCTTTTATGCATTAATAAAATCATGTATAATTGTTAAATGCTTCAAAGCCTGGGGGGAGTAATTATGTCAAGTATTTAAAATTTATTATTAATGAATTAAGAAAAAGTGATAGTAACAAAAAATTAATGAAGGAATACCAATTTATACTGGTTGACAATCTTACAATTAGAGTATCAGATATATTTAAAGATTATCTTGACCAAATTGCACTGCGGTTTATAGTTATTTTTATAAATAACAATAATAAGTTATTTTTATAAATAACTATAATCATATAAAAAAAAATACCAGTAAATCGTGATGCTAAATGTTGCACTTATCTAGCCACCTTGAAACTCCTCATTTATGTAAATTCCCCTTAAAGTGAATTTTCATTACTTTTTATACTCTAATTTTTTTAAATTTGCCACAGATTCAAATATGGCCTCATTTTGATAATTTGCTATTCAACTTAAAAGAAAGCTGATCTTCCAGAATTTGGTCGTAAATTCACCAGTGCTTAACTCTCAAAGATCACTAATTTCTTGCGGGGCACCCTGTAAAATTATTCATAAAAATGTTTTTTTTTTCATTTTTTCTTAAGAGGTATTAGGAAATCAAGAGTAAAAACAGCACCAAATTCCTAATGACCACTGATGGTGGTTGTGGCGGCCGTCACTAGTCATTTGTACGCCTCGCATTTAAATTTCGCAAAATGTAATCAGTGGCGAACACTCGGAGAATTTAGTACGGAATTACTCATGCATATTTTACCTTGCACACGCACGCCCGCAGTATTAAATAAATTTTCTGCGAAACTTGTTGGCTGGAAAAATTAAATTTGTGCAAATCGGAGTCACGCAGCGGCTGCCGTCGGGCGCAGAGACTGATCAAAGTTGGCTCTCGTGAATAAAACCACACATTCGTGTGCAGACGAGGCTAACCCCAAAGCCGGGCCAAAAACTGGCGATGTCATGTGCTTTTGACGACGCACCGCGTTTGATCTCGAAAGAGCCGCCGCGTGCCGTGCAGGCTGCATACGTATGGACGAATTTGTTTCGACGAGACCGCAGAAATAACATACCCGGAACTCATGCGTATTATTACTGTTTATTGCTCTGAGGTGAGCCTTGGTGGAGCAAAACAAAAACACACCCCATCACCAGCGAGAGAACAGGCAACTTGGAGGGAAGGGGAGAGAGTTAATTACAGAAGCACCTCACCCATACACCCCGGGTATATATCTCTCTCTCGAGTGCTCGTCCGTCGGAATTACGGCTTTTTTGTTGCGGAATTTAGGGGCCCTTTTGAGACACATCATTTGGCAGTGAAGCACAAAAGCAAGCAAGAAGAAGTGTCGGTGCAGGTGTCACGACCGGCCCTTCCCCTGTTATCGATTTCCTTTCCTGCTCTCCCGCTCGGCGGTTCTCTGCTAAAAAATGCATCATTTTTTCTACAAAATACGACACTGCTTTCTTTTCCTTTGGCATAACATGCTGACGTGGGCGTAAACAAGTTGCCTTCAATATTTGATGGAAAAGATGCGGCGTATTTTCGGATATTTCTATATATTATTTGTATTCTTTGCGGTCAGCACAAGTAAATTGCCTCGTCTCTCTCCCCATTCTTGTGTATATCCGACCGCTTTTATTCAATTGACCTGATATGTAAATGCGTGGCTCTCCTCGAGAGTCGCCAGGCTTGAGGTAGATTTTATCGAGATGCTGATCAGGTACGCGCGACGTGGATTGGGCCAATTTGGTTTGAAATGAAAATTATACCCCACTCGACTGCCACCACAATAGCAGGCAAAGCGCTCTCTCCAAAACTAAATTGGTGCCACCTTGAACACAGTAATTTTTCTCCCTGCAGCATACAGATTTGGAGATTTGTTTTTACACAGCGTTGACACGGAAAGAAACTAGTACTAAAATAATATTTGATATACCAAAAATTTTATTACAAAAGGACTTTTAACTTTAAAGTGACTTTATTTAATATTTCATATCTTCTGATTCAATTTGCTGAGATATTTTAATTTAAAATCTTCCAATAATTGAATTTAAACAATGAGACTTAACAAAGTGGATAAAAAAAAAAAAAAAAACAATAATCCCTATAAACATTTTCTCACTAAAATTACCAATTTTGCAAATAAAATATATTTTAATTTATATTAGTTTTTGCCAACTAGTGAAATCGAATAAAATGAAATTAAACTTTAAAGATAAATTAGGCGGTTTTAATAAATCATAATACATTCACTTCCCAGAAACGTGCACGAATTAATAAATTAAGCAAGCTATATCTGTCAACAAAGATTTATTGGTTCTTTTTGCTAAACTAAACAGAAGCTATTTTCGTTTTTGCCTTTTCTTATAACTCCAAAGTAATGCTTTCTTTTAAAACCCTTTTTATGGAACATTTCTGGCAAGAACGAAATTAATTATCCCCAGCAGTCTGAGTGACATAAAAACGAAACTGCAAGCCACGAAAAATGATCAATCCAACCGTAAACTTTTAATGTGCGGCACAAAGCACTCCTTATTTTTATTCCAACTCTGGCCTCGTCTTTACTCGGGAAATTTACTCGCTGGCGCACTGCTCACATCTCTCGCCTAGAATTTAAGGCCGTCGGCGCTCGAATAAATTCTCAAAGTTGCACGCAGAAATTTTTTGTCCGACTGAAAACGTCTGGACGAATTTTATCCGATGTCTCTACTAGTCTGTACGATTTGGTCAGATAAAATTGTAGTTTTAGAACTTCTAAAAACAAAACGTATGCCCTGTCCGTTTCAGTCGGACAGATTTTTCCAAACGCTGTAAGATCTGATACAGTGTACGGCTTTGCGCTGCTACTGCAGCCAATTTCAAAACTGCTAGAATGTCCGAGTTGGAAACGGACAGGCTATCCAAGAAACCTGTAACCGCGCTTCTCGAGAACAAAGGATAGCCTTTCGGGGGGAGGTTTTGGCGACAGGCAAGCACTCAGGGTCTGGGGATTTTCGATAATTTTCGATATCCCAGGCATTTCTCAGGTTTGAAAACACCAACGGTCACTTCAGCGTCAGTCGAGAGAGCTCTCTTCACAAGGAAAGATCTGTGTTGCGGAGAGAAAAATTGAAAACTCAACGAAAAACTTCTATAATTGGTAAGAAATTTAGTAAAATGAATATAAAAAAAGTATGTTGAAATAATTTTGACTTTCTGACTTGCAGAAAATTTCCACATTCTGGCCTCAACTGCGACGCTCGCAAAATGATAATACGTCTCCTGGTGCAAGTTATTATAGAAGAACTAGAAATGAACATCAACTACCAGGTAATATTTTTCAAATTTTTCTCTCCGTTTTATTTTTTTTTTTTTCAATAAATTTAGAATATTATATTTTATAATTTTCTTTCCTTCAAACTTCAAAGCAAAAATTTTAACGTGAGGAATGCATTGTTTCAGAAAGAGCTGCTTGGCTTCACCGTGGATATTTACTACCAGAAAAAAAACCCACTAGAGTTTGACATGAAATCTGAGAAAATCAAGCAATCAAAATCATCTCTATAGCTTGGGCACATCTCTGGAAAAGCGCGAGTGCAAGAAGATGAACTTTTCCTCAGAACGTTAAGTAGTACTGTTCCGGAAATCCGGTTTCATTTATTCAGTAAAAAAAAATAATACTTATACATTTTTATAAATCAATGTGTGAAGCAAAATTTTTCTGTGGTTGTCGTTTTCAAATGCTTGATTTTTCAATACCTCTAAAGCAATTTTTTTATTGATAATTGTCTCAAAAGTGCTGTGTTATTTTCTCTTTCAAATATGCATATCAAAACTTAATTTCAACAACTTTTGCAGTTTGTTACTTGTATTTTGCTATTTCCTTGTGTTATTTTGTACTTTGTGAATTTTTGTGTAAATAAATATTTCTATACTGAAATTATCCATGCATTATTTACTTGTACCATATATACAATTAAGAAAACGCAAAGAGCAAGAAATAATAAACGAAAGGAACAGAATAGTGAAGTCGGACAATTTGTCCGAGTTGGGTCGTAAGCGCGTTGCGTTCTCCTCTCATTTAATCCAGGCAACCCAACTCGGACAAAATAGGAGAGTTGAAAGCGTACAGAGCTTCTGAGCGCGGTCTCCTATCTCATATGTTTTTCGGCGTAAACATTTTCCGATTCTCAATACAGACAGAGTAACCGCTTTTTTTCTTAAGTCATTTTTTAGAAGTTTGAAACGGACAGACTAGTAGTTAGGTCGGACAAAAAATTTCTGCGTGTGGTATCCAAGATCGGTAAATTTGTCAGCACCACAGCAGCAGTGCGCTAAGTGAGAATATTTACTTCTGAACGGCGGCGGCGGGCGCGCGAAAAGTTCTGCTTAAACGAGCAAATGAATTATGAGCGGTGAAAAAAGTTGAACGTAAAGAAAAGAAAAACTCGCACTTTAATATAACCAAAAGTTGGCTCGCGATCGAAAAAAAAATGTAGACGCGTACCTACAAATACCACGGATGAGCCCAATCAGATCTCAAGATAGTTGAATATTTTTGTTGGTTTTCATCCATTAAATAAAAAGAATAGCCAATAA